AAAACTGGTCAAAATATCGCACTCCTATTATTTTGTGGACAACTGTATATGTACATACATATGTGCATTTGCATATTTTCGTTCATAAGTACCTACATGGCAACTGACAGACAAGGTTTTTAGGATGCCTTCTGCCTTCATACATACATATGTACATATTTACCTATAAACATATGTATGTAGATTGTTTTCTATTTAGACCCCCACCCCCTTAAGGCACTTATATAGCTTTCCAATCAGCTTCAGTCGGTGCAATGTTGAACAAACTCATACAATCGCATACACATACGCATATACGTACATACATATGTATGGAGTAATGGGGCTAGTGCTCACATTCGCATTTTCAATTCGCAAATCCAACTTCGCAAACTCGTATCCACACACTTTCGTCATCGACGTCGTCGGAAATGTGGTTGCCGTCGTCGTCGTCCAATACCATCCCCACTGCCACCAAATACAACAACCAGTGTGCAACTCCAGCGCCATTGCCATATCCCTAAACATACTGTCTCATTGGTTGTTTTTGTTATTCTCTATGTTGTTGTAGTTGTTGTGTTGTACTACCTCGCACTCGTACTGGAGTGCTGAACTGTATTGGATTGGATTCGGATTTTTTGCGTATCTGTGAAATTGTTTGGCCCGTGTCGTTTGTTTCTCTTTCAATTTTTTCTTCGATTTTATTCAAAGCATTTGCAGTGTTGTTGTTGTGTGCCTCATTCGGTTCTTTGGCGCTCTTCTCGCTTTAGTCAAATGTCCACAAAAGTTCAACTCAGTTGTGTGACTTTTTCAATTGGCTCCAGTTTCACACGGCGGTTTCGAAAACGTGGCCGACGCGAATTTGATCTTTTGACGCTTTTCGTTGGCGTTGTTTGTTTGTGAGTGCGATAATGCGAAACCCCTGCCGCATAAAAACAAGTGGAACAAAACAATGATTATGGAAAATTGTTTAAAGTGCTTGTGGTGTACAAATACATTTGCACTCCAATAAATGCACATTCGTAGAAAATGTTTAAATAAGCCAATGAACAAAATTAACAAGTTATCAGATTGTGTTGTTATGTACACGCTACAAGTACAACAGTATCTGTTAAAACAACAGTGTCAATAAGAAAAGAGCTAAATACTTATTAGAAAATTATACAACTGAGTCCCTTTAAAGTGAATCTGTACAGGAATAGCACTCCATTCCACTTCATATTTCCGCACAGTTCATCCCTTAAAATCCAAACAGACATGAATGTAACAACACCTTAACAGCGTGTGAAATCAGACTCAGTTTGAATGCGTGTTTCACCGTCGGCGTTTACTTATTCGATTATGGTTTGCAATAACAGAAGATAAGCTATAAAAACGTCCATCTGTAAGAATTGCACCAGACATAAAATAAAATTTAGATCGCTAAATATTAAATCCATAATGTCGTTAAACTTACGTTTCGTACGTTTCCATTATGAAATTGATTTGTGGTCTTTGAAATAATCTTGGATGAAATGAAATGACAAAATTTTTCTCTTTGAAGGTAAAATATGTCTTGTAGACATATTATATTTCGTTTGGTTGTGAAAGAGAGACTTAAGTTATTCTTTTAAATGCCCACAGAAATGTGTTCTGTTCTTATGTTTGCCTGTATGTACATCAGGGATGTTGCGGATATTTGCATTCGCATTCGTTATACGAATGATTCTCATCGGCCCTTATTATGAATTGCATTCGATTTCGAAAGTGAAATCCGTATTATAAGCTATGCAATTGTGTCGAAATTTTCGTTGAGTATCGAATCGCTTTCGATGGTGTTGCGAAGAGTTAGAAAATTGTGAAAAATGTATAATTGTGCATTGTGTTTTTTACTTTTTGGCGGCTAGACAAATTATACAATTTTTATTAATTTCATGTAGCTTTAACGCCGTGAATACAAAACCCAAGCTCGAAAGGCGAAAGAAAATCCCAGTACTCAGTTGACACGATGTCTGAGAACAAAATCGTAGAGCTGGTGATAGTTTTAAAATAATTTAAATATATTTGGCTCACAAAGGCCTCTTACATAGTCGGAGTTTATAATAAATCTGTAGACAAATTTCTTAAATATATTTTATGTCAAAATATATTCGAAAGACTACACTTAAACTCTCTTAAACATTTTCTTCTCCTGGCCAGTTTACTAAGCTCTCATCCTCTGTTGACGAATGGTTGAACCAGAACCCGTTGTACTCATTTTTACCACGTTTTTATAAACTCGCTTTCTTTTTTATTTCATTTTAATTTGCACAAATTTACATACATATGTATGTATAAGCACACTATTTAGTTTGTTCGATTTGTAACAAGGCTTCCCAATGGTGAAAAATTGACTATTGTGAACAATCTAAACGAGCGAAATTCACAATAGCACTATTCTTCGTCGAATGAGCGTCATAATACCAAATTAAAATCGTGCACTTTCGACCACAGTCGAAGATCGAATGCAATTCATAACAGGGGCCATCATTTGCCACATTCGCAACGACATTCGCACTCGGATCAAATGATACAAATGTTTTGCGAATGCGAATGTGTACATGGGCAGAGCGCGCAGCTTTAATCTGCCGGATAGCGACCACTAATAACATTTTCCCACGACATCCTAAATTACTTTGTTCGCTCTCCCAATTACGATCGCGAATTACCCCATTCCCACGGGCACATTCTTAATTCGATTTGACAGTTCTCTGTCTCAGTGTTTTGTTTTTGTTTTTCTTCGCTGCAAAATGTAGGTTCTTCCTAAAAATTTATAAGTTTCCGTATTAAATTAGGGATATACACATTGATAAATTTTACTTTTCGTACTCAGAAAATATGCAAGTTTTGATTTGTGAGCTAGTTTCGATAAATTTCCGATAAAAATTAGAGATGGCACCGAAATGTTCGTAATTCGCATGGTAATTGGATCTGAATTACCAATAAATGAGGTAATTCACTCTCAATATTGTGTATGGCGAATTACGTAATTCGAAGGGTAATTAGAGTGCGAATTACGAATGAGATAGCGGACTACGCGATTGGGGTGCCGTGGAAAAGTCGTATAAGCACACAATTGCAGCGTATCCCACACAGTGTGACCGCGGGCTTGTGAAAAATTGTAGCAGAAAAGAGACTTAAAATTTATCAATATGTATCACTTTTTTCATTTAAGTATCAAAGCATCAATAAAACCAATAACACTATGTAACAAGGTTTTTGTCCCTGGGTTGTAATTGTTATTTCCTAGTCAGTTAGGTCCCAAAAGTATAGAAAACAGCTATTGTCGCAAGATAACTTTGCTTTTGTGACCATGGCAGTCGTCATGGCATGACGTCGGACTGGCAAAAAAGCAAGTCAAATCATGTATCCTGACATTCCTTCATCCATGGCTCCAGTTCCACACAGCTCTGACCGCCCCGTTCCTACTCCTCCAGAGAAAGAGCAGGTGTCTTCCTGTGAGAGCCCTGATTCCATGAGTGTGGAAGACAATGAAGGTGAAGGATTTAATTTACTAGCTGATAACAAAAACCCATACTATCCCAACCAAAAGGACATGAATGATTTGATCAGAGATCTTAGTCTAACCAAGTCCGATGCTGAACTTTTGACGTCCAGACTGATGCAGTGGAATTTGCTGGATCCTAGTGTTAAAGTCACATGTCAGAGGAAGCGTCACAAAAGCAAAGTTTCCGAGGAATATTAGGTGGTTTCCATACTTTTAAGGCATAACAGACTAGGAAATAACAATTACATCCCAAGGACTGAGAAATTTTTTTTTTTTGTTACTTAGTGTAATTTTTATGAAAAACCATTTTCCAAAACAATTTAACATTTATTGCACGAGCAAGTAGAAATTATTTCCCGAAAGCGATTTGCGTAATTTCAGTTGTAGTTACACCTTGCAATTTTTATTGCCGAAAGTGATTTCTGCAAATCTGCAAAAAAGACTTTCTGACTGTTTACACGGGAAAGTAGACTTTCGATTTCGCATTTTGACAGCAAAGTGCGCAGAAAAAGAGCTGGCATTGCCACGTTTAACCACACCTTTAGTCTGGTAAACTATGTTTATCAACAGTTGATTTGTAGCATTTTTCCTATAAAAAAAAAATAAATTGTAACAAAAAATTTAAGGAACTTTATTTACTTAAATGCGTTATGCCTTTCGGCAGCGGGCGGATTCAAAATTGGATGAAAACCAGAAAAATTAGGAGTGTACTCGTACGCCCAACTATCTAAAGTTTTAGAAAACTTTTACTGGTTTTGTGTTCTCGTACCCAAAAAACTTGCAAACTAGGGGAAATTGAGAGAGCAAAATGTGAAAGAGAGCTGCAAATTTATGCTGGAAAAATTTTTCCCAGCTAAAACTTGAAAGTAAGAAAATCAGCTGATAACAAACACATGTTTGTAAATAAACAAAAAAATATATGGGATTTTGAGTTATTTATTGCAAATTTTATTATTAATGCTAGTGAAAGTGAAAGTAAATTTAATATGCACAACGTTTGTTGCGTTTATTTTTCGCTAATTTGCTAGTTTGTTTACTTTAGTGTGTGCTGACTATAGATGCCGTATGACATTTTTCGTTTGTACTATAATTTAAATATACCAAAATAGATTTAAATGCAGCATGCTGAAATGTTGTTTTGCTGAAGTTTTCGGTTTTGGTAGGTTGATTGTTGAAATCAAAATTTTATAATTTATATATGTATATATATATATATTTATATCTATTACATTGTTTTTGGATCAATGATGACTGTTTGGAGGAGATACTCTTGTTTTTGAATGCGTCACCATGTGATATCACAAATAATTATGAGAAAAATAACTTATTCATTCCGATATAATTAATTTGTACTTCAAAAAGGTTTTTCTTATCGAAAACTATTCAATTGTATAAAATGCGAAATCGGGGGAAATGTACCAAACAGAAAATAAATTGCCAAATTAATCACCAGTGGCAACTGTGCAAGTGATCAGCTGTTTCGAAGGTTGCAAGTTTTTGCAAATTTCGCGTTCTCGTACTTCTGTTGATATTTCGTCTCTTTGCGAGCGAATGCTGCTAAATTCTCAGAACTTTTTCTGCTGGAGAATTTTGTCCTCTCAATACGAGTACATTATTATCAAGCTTCCACCACGATAATTCGGTAACCGATAAACTGATACTAAAGTAATGTGACACTAACAAAATATTTAAAAATTTACCGCAAAACTCCACAGGCAAACACCGATGGCTGTCAATTTGACGAGCAGTATGATTGCAAGTTTATGTGTGTAGGCACTTTGATGTCTTGATATGTATAAGCGTTCGCCGCATGACGCCACCAGACAACATTCTCTCAATTTCGGTGTTTAAAAACATTTCAATCTCAAAAAAACTTGCTGAATAAAGGCCTGTATGCAGCTCTCAAGAAAAGCAGAAACTCCATATAAAATGACGTACCTTGTACGAAATTTTCTTGAGTCAAATTTCCTCAAGGCAGTACGCAGTTCTTAAGGAATTTGCTACGCTTTCTACTACGGTTTTCAAAAGTTTTTTGTGAAAAAAGAGCACAAGGCAACCCAGGTTTGCAACAGAAATATATGCCCGTTCCATTATTTCTTGAGGAAAGAGTGAGGCAACAGGCTGTGAAGTATCAAAAATGTCAAAATTCCTTGGACACACAAACGAAATAATGGCAAATTTTTCTTGACCGTTTTCTTGAGAGCTGCATACAGGGCATAAGTTCCTAAAACGTTATCATATATAATCCAATAGGGTACAGATTCTTATTTTGATTTATTATTAATATTTCATCGAAGTTACCACCAGCAAAAAAAAATCAAAAAATCCGCGGTAAGTGCTAGGTACTTTAAATTTTTACTTTATTATACTAAAATTTTAAATTTCTAAAGATGCTGATTAAAAAGTTAAAAATATTGCTGAAAATTTTAAATTGTATATTTTAAGTAATCAGCTCTATTTTCATAAAAAAGAGTAAACATTTAATTAACTAAAGAAAAATTGCCAAAACTTGCTAAAATGTCGCGTCTCAGTTTATATTTGGGTCACTGTATATGAGCTTAAAATAAAAATCATTGAAATCAGCCCAGTATTTGAAGACGTTTCGGATTAGAAAAAATTGTCTTTCAATTGTATATATGTAACACAGTTGGATATGAAAAATTTATCCAAGATGAGGCTACCCATTTCTAATAGATTTTGGGTCGCAAAATTTGTAAAACTGGAAACTTATATATGTATACAAATCAGGGTTGATGCGAATATTTGCATTCGCAACCGCGGATCTTCCGCATTAATTTTAACATTCGCATTCGCAAAAATCAATGCGGATCTTTTGCGAATGCGAATATTGAAGGGAC